GTAAACAGGCACAGGACAGATACTCCTATTCCAAAAGGGAAATAGAAAAGAAGAAAAGGTGTTGGATGGGTCCCAGGCAGGCCCCAAACCTCACAAGGCAAATTCCATTAGATCTTATGGCTTCACAATCTTCTTTGGCTCAATGTCCCACCTCCCAGGACCCCTAGGTTGGCAGTAACATCCCCACACAGTTCTCTGCAATGGCCATGTCCTCTGAAACTGGAAGAGAACAGGCCTCTGATCTCTGAATTGCCTTTGGGATCATTCCTTGAAGAATAGTGCATGTTTACAACTAGATAGGTCTATAACCTGGTTCTGTAGAATCCAGAAAGTCCAGCAGCTGCTTTCTTTGTCCCTTTTAGTTCAAATTGGTAGTGTCTTTGCTGGTATAATCTCATCTCTATTCCTGGCCCCTGTTGAGATGGCTGATTAGGTCTATAAGTTGTACCCATGGTCTCTTTATCAAATGATTGTGCAACTGTACCCTTAGTGCTCTCTTCAGAACAAGCTTTATCACTTTTGCAATATAGGTAGGCTGAGAATTTCCCAAATCTCCAAATTCTGGTTCCTTCTTGTTTTAAAATTTTTCAATTCCTCTCTCTCCTCTTGCATTTTACTATGAGCAGTAAGGAGGACCCCAGTTGTACCTTCAATATCTTGCTTAGAAATCTCTACTACATATTTAGTTTCATCCCTTGCAAGTTCTGCATTCTATGAAACACTTAGGACACAAGTTAGCCAAGTGTTTTGCCACTATATACCTAGTTCTTTGCCACTGTCTTTCTTCTGGAGTCCGAGGCTCTGTGCTGACCATGTGGTTCTTCCCTCATGTTGCTGGGGTTACAGTTGCTGGTTGTCTCATTTTAATCAGTAATACAGTTGTAAATACTTTCATTTGGTGTCACATTTTTGTCAGCACAAAAGCCCTGGGTGGTAGGAGACTGTCTTAGTTTTCTAGGCTGCCATGACAAAGTACCACAGACTGGGGGGCTTTGATCTCTTGAAATGTTCAAGAGATCAAAGCGTTAGCAGGGTTGGTTTCTTCTGATACTTCTCTGCTCGGCCATGGTTGGCCATCTTCTCCCTGTGTCCTCACACGGTCTTCCCCCCGTGCCAGTCTGTGTCTATATTTCCTGTTATAAAGATACCCACCCTATTGGATTAGGGCCCACCCATATGACCTCACTTTTTATCTCTTAATTCTCTCATTACCTCATTAATTATCTTTTTGAAGATCCTATCTCTAAATAAAGTCACATTCTGAGGTACTGGGGGTTAGGGATTTTGATATAGGGATTTTGGGGGAACACGGTTCAGCCCTTAACAGAGGATAAGCATTCTTACCCTCACTTTCCAGCTGGGAAGTGAGACCCCACCGTCAGAGTCTTTCCTGAGGCCACATAGTCACTGGGACTGAGACTGCAGCCCCAGCCCCTGGACTCCTGCTTCTCTTTCCACAGCAGGCCTCAGCTACAGGGTTGGCTGAACTTGCACTTGTTAGAAGAGAGTGATGTCTTCAGGAGATCTAGACTTAGAATATATCAATGGTCTTGCTTTGAAAGCACTACCTTTTTCCCCATTTAAGTTGGGTTCCCCTAATAGTAGGCCATGATTTGAAATTTATTTGAGAGGCAAGCCCAGGAAGCTCCAGTAGGGGAGTGGGAAAGTGATACGGGGAAGAACAGCAGTCTATGAAAGATGCATGACTGAGCAGGTTACTGTTGTAGGCAGCTGGGGCTCAGTCCTGCTGAGGCACTCTGGGAGGCTGTGTACAACATGCCACAGAGGTGTCCTCCCAACACCTAGGGATAAGGGACTGAGCTGTTTACCCACTAAATCCTGATGGTCATTGGTTGAGAGCTGCTCCCCTGCAGTGCCAATTCCTCTAGCATCTCCACCTTGCGCTGAAGAAGGCCCTTGGTAAATATGCCTGGGCCTGGAGTTGGGCAAGGCACTGCATTATCCACTTCTGTGTAACCGATTACTGCGAATTTAGCAACTTAAAGCAGCACATTTGTTATCTCATAGTTTCTGTGGGTCAGGAGTCATGCCTGGGCATGGCTTACCAGGGTTCTCTGCTTCAAGGTCTCGTTCAAGGCAGAAATCAAGGTGGTGGTCTGGGCTGGGGTCTCAACTGAAGGCTTGGCTGGGGAAGGCTTTCAAACTTATTTGGTTGTTGGCAGATTTCCTCTAGGACTTTTGGACGGAGGGCCTCGGTTTCTAGCTGGCCGTTGGCCAGATGTCACCCTCAGTTCCTTGCCATGCAGTTCTTCCTAACATGGCTGTTTGCTTAAGTAAAGCATGCAGGCCAAGAAGGCAATCAAGAGAGCTAGCAAGGTGAAGAATCTTATGTAATGCAATCACAGAAGTGACGTCCTATCCCCTTTTCTGTATTAACCAAGTCACAGGTCCCACCGTCACCTAGGGGGAGAGGATTACACAAGGGCATGAATATCAAGAGGTGGGGACACTGTAGGTGACTGTTACACTGCCATTTGTTCTATTTACAAGTTATTGCTGGCCAGAAACATTTTTGTCAAGAGACTTGGAGATTAGAAAGAATTTTATTGCAAATCAGTCAGAAAATTTAATTTTAAACTATCTGGCCACTGGGGGCTAGCCAAATGTGATTTTTCTGGCTCTCCTGTCCCTAGCTAAGGACCAGGCATCTTAGGCTTTCTGCAATGGGGACTTTGAATCCCAGTGATCTTCCCAGGACAGCCTGTGGAACTAACTACAGTAATGGTTTCTTTAGTTGGATTTCAAAGTGAATTTAGAATTGAGTGAGAACCTCAGGAACTTCAACTAAATTCCATCTAGGCTAGTAATATGGAAATTAATATAATAAAAATCTTGTTTCCTGCCTGGCATTTGAACAATTCCCAAAGCCACAGGATGGTGCTACTCTTCCTAGAACTCGTCATATTTAGGCGTCATATTCAGATGTCATGTGAGAGAAGCTAGAGACATTTTTTTTTTCAGATGCTAATGGCTAGAACAGCAAAATTACTTTTTTAGGGGAAAAAGAGTATATCATATCAGCCTTATCAACTTTTTCAGTGTCTTGTAGTAGTTCTGCTTTTTAAAGTCGATTATTTTTGTCCTTTGAGAGGTTATGTGCAGGGCAATGGTTAGAGCTCACAAGCTCTGGAGCCATAGTGCTTGAATTTGAATCCTGGCTTGGCCACCCACTTGCTGTGCAATCTTGGCCAAGTTACTTAACCTCTCTGTGCTTCAGTCTCTTCATCTGTAAAACGGAGTAATAAACTCTCTCAGAGTTTTCATGAGCATCAAATGAATAAAAATGCATGTAAAGCCCTGAGAACAGTGGCAGGAGCCAATGAGAGTGTTATTTTTAGTTTGGAAAAGCTAAAAAATACACTAGAAGAGAAAATTTCAGTGATAGAGATGGCCAAGAGTATTTATGAAACCTGCTATTTCTGGACTAAACAAAAATTCTCTATTCCCTTTTTGGGTTCTATTTCAGAAAAGTGACCACCATACCTGTGATTTCAGAGCTCTAGAGAAGGGGGTTCCCGACTTCCCAGATATTATCACTTTATACTGATAGTACACAGCTGCCTGAAGTGTCTCAATAAACGCATCACTTTCTGGTTCTGGCCAAACAGACCACTGGGTCCTGGGGGCTGAGCTGCTTACAATTTGAGTGGGTTTTGACAGCAGAACAGGGAGAGGGCTTGTGCACTCAGTGATTCTGATGATGAAATGGGAAGAATGAGAAGCTCTGAGTGGGAAGGAGGGCGTAGAGACTGGGGGATGGAGGGACTGGAGGAGCTAGAGCAGAAAGACAACACTATGGCATCTGAAATGGAAAGCCTGCCAGTTGTTCTAGGGCTGCTCTGCTGGGCATTTTCTTTTTTTCTACATTACTAGTAGCTCCTATAGAAAAGCATTTTCTAAATGTTAGCGTGTGGAAGAATCACTAGGGATGCTTGTTAATAATATGGATTCCTGGGACCACCTCCAGAGACTCTGATTCTGTGGCAGCACTGTGGTCGGGTCTGGTGATTTTTATGGGGGTGTCTAAAAGCTGTAGTGCCCCAGAACCTAGAAGGAGCAGAGGGGCCATTACCTGGTTGGGGGCTTTTCCAGAAGCAGTACTTGCTCTGCAATCACATTTTTAGAAACACTTAGAGGGAATGTTGATTTAGGGGAGCTGGTGGAGATTATGGGCATCTAAATTCCCATGCTGCCGCTTGATGTTTCTACTCCCTGAGAAACAGTGTTAGAGACTATTAGAATATCATTTTACAGAGGAAGACAATAAGGCCCAGTGAGGTGAAGTGACTTCATCAAGGCCACACAGCTAGTTAATGGTAGGTCTGAGACTGTGTCCAAGTATTCTGGTTCTCCATCCGGTATTTCAATTCACTAAACACCTGTTCCCTGTGGGGTGGCTGACTGGGAAAGAGAAGAGTGAGAAGAGGAAGTAGTGAGAATTGGAGGGAGTTGGGCCCCAAATCCCAGAGAGTAGGACAACAACAATTTTGTCCTCTTTGCAAATGGAGTCAGAATTAGGATAGGGGTAACTTTGGCTTGTAATTCAAATGGTCAGACAATTGCTATTAAAATCATTAATAACGTATTTTCTAACGGCAGGATGTCTTGGACAAAAAATATTCCCAGACTTTTTTTCTTTTCTTTTCTTTTTCTTTTTTTTTTTTTTTAACCCCAAGGAGGATATATCTATCTCCTAAGGGAGCTTATGTTTCAAATTTTCTTCTAGTAACACAGTCCTCGTATTGACTCTTGGCTGTACCGGGCAGTTCGTGGAGCGTGTGTGTATGTGGGCAGTGGCCCTGGGCGGCGGGACTGCGGCAGCGTGGGGCGGCGGACACTGCGGGCGGGGGCACTGCAGCACCCCGCGGCCCGGCGGCCCGGCAGCGGCCCGCTGGAGGGGGCGCTGTGGGCACCGCCAAGCGTCCTTTTGTCAGTGCGCACCGCCAGTAGAGCTCTCATTTCCTCCCAGCCTCGTGCGG